AAGCTCTTTGTGGGCAGCGGCAGCAGTAGCAACCCGGAAGGGCTGGTCATGAACACAGAGATCCTGGGAGCCACCACAGAGGTGCTCATTGAAGATTCAGACTCCACCGGACCTTAGTGGGCGGGGAGCACGCGGGTGCTGGGACAGTTTGGACTCTGTATTTAAAAGGAAAAAAAGAAAGAAAAAAAAAATGGAGAAACTTATTGAAAGAGAGAAAAGTTAAACAAAACTTAAGATACTAGTAAATAACCGAAGGGTCTGCTCCCCTCCAGCGTGGATCACAGCACATCCTCTTTCTCCCAACCACTTCTCTCTCTCTTTCTCCCTCTGCCCCTTTGTAGAAAGGGGCACGCGCCGCCGTTACCAGAGCGAGTTGGATCGAGCGACGGATTTCTCCAAGGCGGGGGGAACGGCTGAAACCCTTCGCTCTGCCCCAAAGCAGATGCCTTTCTGGCTCCTTGACGCGGCCCCCCACTTGCAAACTAGAACGCCGTTTGTGCTCTGGACGAGTTTCTCGGGACTCCCTCCCGCCCCCGTGGTCCCAACTTCTATGCATCGCTGCACTCTGGTCCTTGCAGTCTCATTCTTCCTCCCCGGGGCTGGGAGTTTGGCTTGGCACTTTAGGCCCCCTCAGCAGGGTGAGCTGTAAAACAGCACGCGTCCCTCTCCCCACCGCGCTCCTCTGCTCCGTCTCTGGCAGGAAGTCTAGGGAACGCCCTGGCTCGTAGATCGTGTTTGCTCGGAGAGGCCTGGGGGGCTGCGGGAGCCCTGCGCGGGAGAGGCAAGGAGGAGCATCCCGGTTTGACGACAGTAATTTGCACTTTGAACGTGTTTCGTTTTCGTGTTGTGGTAACAAGATTCCTTATTTATTGATAAAAGGGTCGGTATTTTTTAGTTATGTTCTTGGTTTTTTTGGGGGGGGGGGTGGTTTGGGGAAGGGTTCGGGCTGTTTCCCAGTAGGCTCCTTCACGCTAGCGAGTTGTAGGGAGCGAGCGGTGCCGTCGTAAGAGCAGCGGGGAGAACGGAGGTGAAGGGCGGCGTTCTGGAGTCGCGGCTTTCCCGGAGTAGAGCGAGAGCCCCTGGAGAAAGAGCCTCGTTGGCAGCGAGAGTCTTTGCAGCAGCGTTTTTAACTGGGAGGATGAGGTGAGTGGTGGAACGGCCGGCTCCTGCCTCCCTCCCGGCTTGCAATGAACTCCTTGCATTAATTGCCTTCCCCCCTCCTCCCCT